GGAAGGAAGGAAGGAAGGAAGGAAGGAAGGAAGGAAGGAAGGAAGGACCAACTGCTTCTAACGGACTTTCTCCTTTGTGTTCATACTGCTGCCTTCTTCCTGTCATACTCTTAGGACTTGACTTGGGGGAAGAAGAGGTATCTCTCCACTAGAAGCTAGCAAGACGAGGGAGAGGTCACTCCTTGTCCTCCATCTCACGGGCCACATCAAGAAAGGCCTGAACAGTAACAGAAACAGGGTGAGAAGGGAGCTTGGTCAGCTGGGTGGGCAACAAAATGGAGCCGAGCAGGCCAAGGAAGCAGTGTGACCCACCAGTCAAGGCTGGGCAAGGAGGCTGGGCAAGGAAAAGCCCCTGGTGAAAGAAAGGAAAGGAGGAAAGAATATAATACAATAATTGTTATTATTGAATTATAATACAATAATTGTTATTATTGTATTGTATTCTTGGAAGGGAGTTGGAAGAGGCCTTGTAGGTCATATACTCCAACTCTTCTCAAGCAGGAGACCCTATACAACTTCTGACAAGTGGCTTTCGAAAGGAAAGAAGGGAAGGGAAGGGAAGGAAAGGAAAGGAAAGGAGAGGAAAGGAAAGGAAAGGAAAGGAAAGGAAAGGAAAGGAAAGGAAAGGAAAGGAGGAAAGATGGAGGGAGACGGAATGAAGGAAGAAAAAGGAAAGGAGAAAGGAAAGGAAATGGAACAAAAGGAAAGGAAAGGAAAGGAAAGGAAAGGAAAGGAAAGGAAAGGAAAGGAAAGGAAAGGGGGGGGGAAAAGATCTAAGCTTAGCATGTCATATGAATGCAGCCATTAGGTTTCAGGTGATCTAGAGATGGGTGTTGTATGAACAGGATGTGGAAATGCAATTGAAACAGGATGAACTGAAACGGGGGCAGGGTAGGAGGAGCATCTCTTCCACTTGTTCCGGGCCTTTCAGGCTTCCCTTTACAACCAGGCCACAGGTGAGAGAAGGGAACCTCCTCCCCACCTCCCCGCCTTGCGGTATCGATTTTCCTGATCCACAACTGAGGGTCTCCTCCTCCATCACCCTTCAAAGAGAGGAGGCCTCCTTTGGCCAGGTTGCAGCCCAGACCCACAGGCCCTGACTAGGATGCAGCTAAGCTTCATTGCGGCCTTGCAAAATGCTTTTGCATTTTGCCGTTTGCCAAGCACTGGAATTATGTTTCATGCAATAAACCGCAGTTCAGCAAACTGCGGTTTGAGCACCTTGGGCAAAGCTAATTACGACCCTCCTCTCAAGCAACCTTCCTAACAACCAGTTTTGGGAGCCTTTGTGGGTCATCTGAAAATGCAGGTTTTCTGTCAACGTTCTGTCGAATTTAACTCATTTTCACGGTCTGCTCCTTCTTTTTCTATTTATTTGTCTGTTTATTAAACTTTTATGCTGTCCATATCCCCTACCAGGTGACTCTAGGCAGCTCACAAGTTATAATACCATTCCGAAAATTGGCTGTACGTTTTCTTAACACAAGCGTGAGGTTGGGGGGCAGTGGAAGTTGTGTATTGAAGCAATTCCTTGCAACTACCTTCTTTGTGGATTTTTTATTTCATTTATTTATTTATTTTGTCAAGCTTGCATTAGATAACACGTATAAATATAAGCATGATTATGAATACATGAAATGGATGCGAATAAAAAGGAACATTAGGACAGGGACGGTAGGCACATTGGTGTGCTTATGCACGTCCCTTATGGATCTGAAAGGCCTTTCTTCTCTTCTATTACTATTATTATTGGTACTATCTTTGCTTTCTTCTGCCACAGTCATTCTACTTCTGTTTTCAGCGCTTTGTATTTTGGGATTTACTCCTACTATTATTATTAGCCTGTTGCCTTAATCACTACAGGAAAGGGGTGTTCCATTATCACGCTCTCACTTTTTATCTATTAACCCAAGATACTTACCATTGCTTCACACATCCAGCAGGGAGCGCCCTGATCCCGTGCAATGTTCCCATAGTATCCATAGGTGGCTGAATTGCCCATCCGAGCTGCTGCTACTACTACGTGACTTGGGACACATCCAGCACCCTTGGGCGTTAACGGTATATAAAGGAAGAAGTGCGTATCTGTATATCGCTGAAATTTTCTGCAGATCTACTTAACCAGGTGGTTGTGATGAGGGAGGAAGGGAGCTCTTTAATGTATTCCAGACAAGGATGATAAATTGGAAGGGAGAGGGGAGCAACTGGCCAGGGTGGTACCCAAAGGATGCTTCCCAAAGATAACTTTGGAACTTTTTTTTCCTTTTTCCTTCTCTCAGAGTTGCACCTACTTACACCATGCCAGTCTTCCGGTATCTGAACAAGCATAGAGAGGTAAGTTTTGGGCTTTTGTATTAGACAAATCAGAGTTAGGGTATCAAATTGTCCTTCCTGTGCCCAGCAAGGGAAGGAGCATCCTTGGATGGGGAGTTGCTGTCCCTGTAAAACCCCTCCAGGGACAAGGAAATATTGGGAAAAGACGTTTGGGAAGGAATATTCTTCACAAATCCTGTTTTCTCCTGAGGTTTTTTTTTCTCCTGAATTTTGCTTTGTGTCTTCCAGCTGATTCCTCTGGCTATAATTATGACTACCACGCTGAGTGGGATGGTATACACCGGCATCAGAGCCCTGAAAAGATCAGATATCACGTAAGCAGCATCTATTTCCTTATTGACACCCAAAAGAATGTTCTTTTTACTTCAGATCAGGTTCTTTCCATTGTTGTTGTTTTTAATTTAAGACAAATAGGGTGTGAGGGACAACAGGCAAAGGGATAGCATTTTCCCACCCTCCCCAAGACTGAAGATGCTAACACAAGAACAAGGAATAAAATCAGGGCTGGGGAAAAGAAATGTTTCGCCCTTTTTTTTGCTTTTTGCTTTATTTCTCAAGGAGGAAGTGGCATTTTGACAAGAGTCATTCTCAGGGAAAGCTCAAAAAGCCTCTAAGGCAGGAAACGAAAGAATTCCTTCTAATTTAAAAATGTTTCCTATTTCAGTTGGGCTGTGTTTGTGTCTGTGTGTGTTTATTTTTTATTTTTTAATGGAACATTAAGAATAAAGCTCAGCGAGAACTGAGTTTAGGTTTTAAAGCTCACAAGGTTTAAAAATGCTTTACCTTTAGTTGGATGCTGAACTTTTTCATCGTGCAACTAAGGAAGAATCATTACTATAAAAGAAAATTGTTTACCTGTATCTTAGCAGTATATAAGCAGATTTTCCGCATTACTCCCTAAAGGAATTGTTTTCTGAATTCGCATTTAAAACAGAGTTTTAAATTATTCAGCCAAAGTAAAGTCAGTGGAAGTCTGTGATGCTAGCTTCAAATAAATCGAGTGGTGCTATTGAGTCTTTTTTTAAATAGCTAAAATACAGTTTTATTAAACTGCCATTTAGCCAAAGGTTATTTTTATCTCATCCATAATAAATGCTGCCTTTTGCTTTTAGTATTGATAGGTGGAACAATCCTGAACCTTGGGAAAAAGTGGATCCCTCCCAACCTCAAAAGGTAATGAACTTGATAGGGTAACAAGTCTTGGACTGTATTATGAAGAATCTAGAGTCAAGGAGTAAGAACGTTACAGATATGTAATAGACGACTAAATTAATTTTTAGTGCTATTTAATATTTAGTGCTAATAATATTGGCTAATTGTAGGTTATTGTTAAGTTGTAATCAGCATTGATCATCATCATCAGATAGAATTTAGCACAGAATTGTATTAAATTTCAAAGAGAGAAAGTTGCAGCCAAAATTACAACCAAAATTGTTGTTGGAGTGGAAGGACAATGGGGAATTTAAAAAGTGGCACTAAAAACCCAACGATAACTTTAAAAAAAAAGAAAAAGGGAGTTTCAAGCCTCTTCAATACGGCTAGAATTAAAATATGTAATACAGTCTTGCTTTCGTTGTAACTCTACAAAACTAAAATAAAAAAGATATATACTGTACCTCAAACAATCATTGATATATATATATATATATATACTATTATGATATATACTATCATAATCATAATCTAAATAAAAAATAACCCATAGATGAATTCTATTTCCATAAATCCACATCACAACCAATATATAAAAACATACAAAGACCTAAAATGAAGTGTATATTTATTAAACTCCAACAATATGCCATATTTCTATAGCAAAAAACATCCCCAATCATCAAATCCCAAAGTCAAAGCTTCATTTTCATCTTTATCAGACAAAAAGTCCAAAATCAATGTCCACATCAAAAGAAAAACGGTCAAAGTATTCTCTCGAATCAAAGCAGTCCATTTTGCCATTGTGGCAACAAATAAAAATCTTATTTTACATAGCCTCTTCTATAATGTGAAACACTAACATGAGTGATATTTGGAGGGAGGGGAAGATAATTTTTTTTTGGGGGGGGGGGATGAATCCCTAATACCAGTAAGCTTGTTAATCTTTTGTCTTTTTTAATCTTTTGTCTTATACGGCAGCTGTTTTCAATCCATCAGAAATGGGAGCCCATCCGAGAATTGGAGGAGGTTCGAAAAGTTTACAAGGAGTGAGGTCCTAGCCCTTCCGAATGGCACTCTCTGAATCTAGTGGAATCATTTCTGCACAAACTAGAGGATGGAAACCAGTGTGCGGAAATGCTTCTGCTACATTTTTAGAGTCTCTCTCCATTATGTGTTGGACTCTGGAGGAGATTCCTGTTGGTTTTACAATCCTCTCAGCCTAGAACCCTATTGCGGAAAACACAGAAAAACGTGTCACAAAGGGTGGCTTGTTGTATTTGTTTTGAACCCTGCCCTTTTTCTTCTAGAAAGGCTGAGCAGCATTTTTCTCCACGTGTGAGCTTTAAAAAAGAGTTGGGTTGTTGGGGGAAAAATATGTTGTTTATGTTTTCAATAAACTTGGAATTGATCGATTAGTTTATCGGGTCTCAGACTGATCGTGATTCTTACTTATTTATTTATTTATTTTGAAACAAATTTTATTGGTTTTAAAGACAAACAAACCATCATTAACCATTAAGTACATAAAACCTCTTTCCATTATAAATTTTTACAAGTCGGATAAAACATTATTTTATAGAACATAATTCTATTTTACCCCATTTCCATATGAACATATAAATATCTTTTAGCAAATTTCTCATTATTTCTCTTTGCTCTTATTCAATTTCATTATTATTATTATTTTTTCCCTATATTTATCCATTTCATCATCTTCATTTCTCTCTGACTTGTTTACCGTTATTCTCATCCAACATTCCTCCAAGGTTTTATCAATTCTCAAACAAACATAAACACACAAAACACAAAAACATAAAACTTCTTTTTAGAAAGTAGCTTGGCCCCAGATTACCTCTCTTTATATGGACTTCAATTAAATTCATGTTCATCTTATATGCCATTACCTATCTTATTTACCATTCTATATCTTCTATATAGCTTCTCCCCGCTTTTCACTCTTCTTAATTCTATTTTATTTATTTCATTTTAATTTAAATCATTATACTTGTATCTTTTGCCCATTCTTCCCAAATTATCCATTTATCTCATTCCCTATAGTAAAAAAAAAGAATTTCTCCTGGAATCACTAATCAAAGTATGATGCCTTTCTATCATCCCCCTAAATTAACATTTAAAATAACACCTAGTTCCCAATCTGATTCTGCTTAGTACATTCCAATTATCTATTTCAAAAACAAATGCTACAGTAATAAATTTATAATAACATCAACACAATAGTCAATTAAACTCTGTAATTAAACTCAATGTTTAAAGCATTCCCTTTAATATTTTGTTAAATTTTGAAGTCTATCATTACTAAACATTTCAATATTTTAATCTTTTATTAATTCTTATAACATTCTAATTTTCTATTTCTAATACAAATACTACAGTACCATCTTATGTACCTTGCAGAATCTTCTTTTTAAAAAGATTATACATTACCCGTTATCCCTAAAAAAAATTCCCTTTTTCCCATCTTGTTTCATGCCTTTGTGGCTTTTTTCCCCCTTTTCCCTTCCTTTCTTTTCCCACCTGGCCTTTTTACCTCCCCCTCTTCTAACCTCCGCCTTTTTAGCTTCCCCTCTCTGTTGTATTCCTTTTTTTTTTTGTTTTCTAACATTGTGTTGATTTTGCATCTTATTTTTCTCTTTCTTGAGTGGTTTTTTAAGTCTTAAGTCCTTCATTTTCCTTCCTCTCTTTCTCCTTTCTTTCTTAATTAAACTTTTGGATTCATTAAAGATGGCATCTTCTTCTTGTTGTTGTTCTTCTACTTCCTCCATCTGTTGTTGTGTTTGCTGACAAATAGCAAGTGCCATTTCTAAAAAATGAAAGGCTTCTTCCACAGCGTCCTTGCCTTCTTTCTTTATTTTTCAATATTCCTTTCTAAGTTCATCAACAGGTAAAGCCATTATAAACCTTTTCTCCCCCCCCCCTCTTCTTCTTCTTAAAACAACCAAGATGTTTCAAAAATTGAAGCAATTCCCCAAAGTCCCAGAGTCATCAATCAGTCCAAACAAAGCACAAAGTTCTCACTTTCTCTTCCAGGGGTAATATCAGTAAAAAGAAAAAAAAAAAAGTCCAGTCTGTATTTTAAAGCCTTGTTGCAATTAATTTAGTCTCAAAATTTTCAAGGCATCTCCTCCAACAAGATCTTTATATATATACATATATATATATATTTGTCCTCTCCCTTCCCACTTATAATAAAGAGCCAAATTTTTACCTTCTATAAAAAGACAGGTTTCTCAATGTCCATTTGTTAATTCCGTAGGGAAGGAGAGTAAGCTTTCCCTTTCAGCACCTCAAACGCCGCTTGAAAATCTCCTCTGGGAACAAAGTATCATTCAAAAAGTCGTGGTTTTAAGGATGTTAGGCATATCTTAAAGTCCTGGTTCAGCCAAAAAAACCTTTCTCTTCAAAACTTTCTCCCTCTTCCTCCTGCACAGTCTTACCCAGCTGCCGGCTTCTTCGTGGCGGCCATTACAGACCGCCGCTCCACCGCCTTGAGAAAAGGGGGTTTTGCAGGCTGGGGAGGGGGTCTGCGATGCCCCCAAACCCCTCTCCGGATCCCCCTATCTTCGGCTGCCTCTACGGGGCAGCCTTAGCCTCCAGACCCGTCGGGATCGGAGGCACCAAGACGGCTAGCGCAACAGGGATCGCGCGGGATCGCGCAGGATCACGAATCCCTGCCGCCGCCGAAGCCTGGCAAACCGGAAATCCGTGATTCTCACTTATTAAGGAAGGATCTAGGTTGCCCAACTACTTCTCTTTGTATCTTTCTGTTCACCCAACATCCTAAGATGGTTTGCTCATTTATCAATAAACCACAGTATGTTGAGCCACCTCTGACATTCTTGGTTTTCCTCTTTGCCTTACTCTTTCTGTATGTATTTGTCTTGCAATTCTATCTTCATTCATTTTTTTTGCATCACTAAATCACATCAAGGTGCTTCTTTTGTACGATTACTCACTTTTGTGTTTAATCCACATTCTTGCTAATTTCTATACTTGCTTCCCTTTTGGTTACAACTCTCATCTGACATAGTTGACCCTCTCCCCGCACTTACAGTAGACATTCCTGATTTTACATGGATAAGATTTCTAAGAAAAGTTAGGTGGGGAAAATAAAGTCTCCCTTATCAAGAAATATTTTCTTTACATTATAAATTCTACTTCTGAAAATCCAAAGGGCACGGGCATATAAAATCTTTATAAAACAAATGTTATTTGAAAAAAAAAAAAGAATGATGTTGAGAAAGAAAGAGAGGAAGATAGAGAAGATGCAACATTTATTTTCACTTAATTATTCTTGAGTACAAGAATGACTTGACAAGAATGCAGATAACTGCCTGGGATTTTTTTTGTGACAGCCTTCCAGATTTCTAAACAGTTTCCTTTGCATGACATTGGCTTACAAACAAGTTTTGGTAGGATGATTTTTGAAAGGACAAGCCCACACTCGCAGCTTAGTTGACATTCGTCTACAGCTGAAAGGAGGAAACAGAACTAAGTGAATGTATTTGGAGCATCAACATCAGAAAACCCAAACTTAAAAGGCTACATATTCCTAATTAAATTCAAAGACGGGACATTTGCTGAGACTGAAATGCTACTTCAAACAACAACAATGTAGTGAACAAAAATTTGGAAGCCGGAGTTATGAGATGCAACCCTTCTTGACCACATCACAAATGACACCATTCAATAACATTTTGGTGTGGCACCAATTACAGAGAAGATGAGAGAAGGCCAGCTCCGCTGGCATGGACATGTCCTGAGAGCAGCCCCTTCCACCATTGCCAAGGCTGCCTACCAACTACATGTCAATGGCCAATGACCTCGCAGACGCCCAAAACACAGATGGCAAGATACCTGTCATGCCACTGTCAGAATCTGATTCTGAGGGGGAGGCCGAGCAGCTGGCAGGGAGTGGGAGTGTGGCTCCGTTGGCTGTGGAAGAAATTGGGGAAGGGCAAAGCAGGGGAGAGGTAGAGCATGGCAGAGGGAATTCAGAAGATCCAGGCCCACCCCCTCTTCATCCTAGGGCACAGGAGAAGGGAACAACGTGAGTTGCATGGCTTACAGGGAAGGAAAGGGCCCTGATTCCCTTCATTAGCTGCAGCTGGGAATACAGTACTAAAAAGGGAGATTGCATACAGCAACTTGTTGGAAGCAAATTGTGAGTTATCTGTTATTGTTGAGGCTTATCTGGGTTCCCGGCGTCTTCCCAACTTTGTGTGTTTTTTTGGCCTTTCAAGTCTGCAATTCCTTCTCCTGCCCTGTCAAGTTAATTGCTGCAGCGTGGTTTGTGTGGGTTTTTATTTACAGTTTGTATGTACTTTGCTTTCAGACTGAATTTCCTCCACTTAAAGACTGTTCTTGGGAGTTTTTTCTCCAGCCGAAGGTAACCTGGACATTGGGGGCAAAGTTGGAGGTATTAAAGGGACTCTTCTTACTTATGTGACTGTGTTGCCTTAGTGTCATGCCCAGGTCATCACAATACCATCAACAAAGATACGCTAGCCATGGGCCTGCACCCTGGAGATGCAACTGACCATGCAAAGTAGTGTTCAATGATCCGAAAAGCAGACCCTGCACCTGTGGGATTATGCTAGGAAGAAGAACAAGTTATAAAATGCATTCATTCGTTTTTTCTTTCTGCAGCCTCATGAACTTTTAGGATCTAGATAGGAGCAAGAACCGAGGGGAGAGGGGAAGAACAGGGGAATATGGATGCAGTTGTATCTAATATATAAACCAAGTTTTGTTTCCCTCCAGAAGAGTTTTACACCGATTCTTGCTTTGGGATCTGATACAGCTGATACTTTTGTGTGTTGTACAGTAGGTATCTTCTTGCTGTTTAGGTTTGAAAAGGTAGCCAGAAACCAAGGTTTCATTTCCTTCTTTGGGTGGTGAAAGGAGTGATGTGTCTGTCACATAGCTGAATCATATGCGTACGTGCTGCAGAGAAACAGGAAGAAGCAACCATAAGTATATGTTTAACTATGAGTAAACACCACACTCAATGGTGTTTCTATTTCCTTGAAATTTGGTTGCCTGGACACCAAGATGGACAACCTATGAACCTCACCATTACCCTAGTTTTCTTAGCTTTGACTATGCCCCTGGGCAGCTATGTGGGTTGGGCTCAAAGGTTGACAATAGCAGCAATCAAGTCTTAATGGGCTTCTAGTTAATTATCCACTCATAGACAAGCCTGGTTGATTTGTAGACAAGAAGAAGGACCTCACAAGAGCATCTTACTCAAAACTTCAGTACTACCAAATCCTGGATCAAGGGAGGTTCTTGAAGATGCTCATTTTTGGCAGGTGTGGCAGGGCAGTTTTCACACTTATAAGTGTTCATAAGCGTGAAGGAAGGTGAAAAATGACAAAGCAGGTGTTCGGACTGATGCAAAATCTGCCTTGTGTGACATC